ACTCATAACAACGTGTTAACGATATCAATAATGAACATCTCAGTATCTCTCGAAATTTTCATTTTTTTCCGGGAAATTTCAGGGAGCGCCGACAGTTGTGGAAAAGTCGGCGGGGAGAATCGGGGACATTTTGGGGACATGAACAGTCTCTGAAAATGGCCGCCGCTCCAAAAAGGTCGGGGATTTGGGGACGAGGACCCCGAATTGGGGGATCCCCTGCGCAACGGTAATTCATGCTATAAGCTACGTAGAGTCGGGGGCTCCCGAGACTCAGGAGCTTCTGATAATTTTCGATGTTTCGGAGGTTCCTAACCCTACCCCGTGCCCTCGGATGACCAGACCTCGGGCATCCTCTAGTCGCATTTCGTCCCGGCTCGACCTTATTGCTATAAACTCTCTGGTAATTGTCATTTGATTAGGATGAACGCAAAATTAATATGTAAACATTAAAGTAACTCCAGACAGGCACTGGATTATGGCCTCATACGGATATCGAATTTCGGGGGGCTGCGTTTCCAATTGGCGGTGATGCAACGATAGATGGTCTTGTTACCATACCGAGTTTGTTCTGATTTATTTGGGTTTATAGTTTGTTTTGCAAGTTGAATTGTTACCTGACTGGTTTCAATCGAGTATTTGCAATATCTTTCAACAAACAAATCTCCATTATTTGATATTTGTGTCATTGTTTATTTTATTACTGAATGAGATCCAGGTTTATCCGGTTCAGAAAAAAATTTGCTTAAAACCCAGGAGCAGTTCAGTATTTTCTGACCTATTGACTACAAATCAGATGAGGATATTATTTTGTTGATAATTGGTCAAGTATTTGCCTATAATTACATTTCTGAGTCATAGTTGCGTAGCATGAATGTTGGTGCATTGATTTGCTCTAAACGACAACTTTCAAATACAGTGGTTTCGTATTCATTTTGATGATACTTGGCGGAACGTAAAAGTTTCTTCAGATATTCTTCACGAATTTAACGATAAATTAGCTGGTGTTTCACATGGAATGGGAACACGAAATCAATTACCTCCTCATCAACTGAATGTCGCTGAAGGTGGCGCCACTTCGTCGAGTATGCCAGAGCAGGTTCGTGCTTCTGTTCATCTTTGTGTATTACTCTTATTACGATTGATGTTATTATTATCGAAACTATTCGTCATATAATCGACAATATCTATGAGACCAGGAACGAACGACATCAGTTCTGATATGAGAAGCATTCAACTAATTCAAGCAGTTTAAGGCTCGAGAACTCGTGCGACGGATCAAAGGGCTTCGTGAAGTAGATGCAACTAAAGAATGGGCGATGATCATCATAACAATCGGCACTGAAGAAGTATTCGTTTCATTTTCTGTTGTTCTCCAGTTTCCTGAAATTGAGTGATAATTTTGAATGAGAAAAAATTAGCTCATCTATAAAAATCAGTTCAGTCGGCAACCGCTGCAAAAAATTCTCTCGTTGCCGATCTGTTCAGTGAAAGAATAAGACATTTGATCGGTGCCATAGTTCTACAGGAAAAATATGAAGTCTCGAGTTTATAAATTCTTTTGATATTAACGACTCCCTTGATATTGCAACTAGAAAATATCTATTCAAGTATGAAGAAGAACCACATTTTCAATTATAATGAACAATTTTCATCAAGAATGAATGTTAATGATCAGCACATAAAGTTTAATTTGAATAATTGTTTGTTCAGATATGTACGCAGTGTGAACCACCCGATTACGAATCATTGCTTGAGGCAATTTCGATTCTAAATAAAGGGATACGTAAAGCGTTTGTCGTTTTGTTGGGTCCAATTCATGTCTCTTCCTCATATCGACAACAAGCAAATCTTCTTAAGTTTGTTTTGTTTTGAATAATGAATACATTTTGTTACTTATAGAAAATACTGATAATACGTTGATAAGTTGTAATGATTTATTTAATGCGATTTGCATAGATCGTTAATTCTGAAAGTAACATTAATATTGTTATTTCATTGTATTGCGTTCAGATCAAGATGTGGTTGCTCAAAGGAGCGATCAGATGAATTTATGAAAAGGTTGAGTAAACAGTGGGCAGACGCATTCAAGCAACTTCAGTCGCTTTTTGATTCACCACCTTTTAAGGTTACTTATCAAACGTTGAAATTTTGATTGCGAAGAAAAATGATAAGATTTTGGTTACAAATGAACCACTGATTTCGTTTGGTTTGTATAAAAGCGAGATACGTGTGTGCGTGCTGAAAGTAATAAACTTATAAACTAAATGAATATGCTCGTCGATTTCGTGCAATGAAACAAGAGAAAAGCTGTTGGTGTGATGAACTGAAAACATCGCACGTTGCTTCATTCCCATTACTAACAATAAACTGCCAAAATGCACCAAAACAAGACTACCTAATTTTGATGAAGTAATCAATCGAAAGGAATCGTGTAATACAGTATCATTTCAATAAGATTTGTTAATTATGCATGCTGTTGTAGCGAAGAACTTTCGGTTTATTAGCACTGCCGATGTTAACAATCACGTCACGTTATCCATATTCACTATTCATTGCGAATCGTCCGTTACTGAATCGCAAAGGGCATATGTATGCAACGAAATGGCTTTGGAACAGACTCATCACCGGACCAACGTACAATCTGTCGTTGGCAGTGCTTTCACAAGATGCATATTACTGTCCAGCAATGGTGCTTAGACTTTTCTGTTTCATTTATGATCGAGGACATTTTAAATTTACTTTTAGTTATTGAAATGCGACACGTATAGTTAATGAGAAAATGTATTTTATGACATGCTCTAATTTATTGTTTCTTACTTCAGGGCTGTCCATATTTTCGCAACCTTCAAAACCGTCATTATTGTCGTTTGCTGAGACACATTGATGTGGTTGAAAGTGGAGAAGATGTGCTGCTTCAAACAGGTCCTTTAAGGCGTCGTTCGCAAAAGAATCTTTATGTGACCGCAATCACTGTTGTTTTCATTGCATTTTGTACAGTTTGTTCAATCGGTACGCTCTTCTACCACCTCAGTAAGCAAGTACGTTATTTCATCATGTTATCTTTTTTTAATAACTTGAAATTGGATTTCCTCAAATTTTCAACCGAATATAATTTTGCTTAATAGAAAAGCGGAACGATGAAATAGGTAGCAGATTTGTTTAACATTTGAAACCATATAAATTACTGACGTGAATATACACGTAGTTGTATGGATTTAAAGTATAAAGTGGATTTTGAATTGATTTACTTGGATTCCGAAGTATACAATATAAACGTCTGTTGACAGACGAACTAGTGGATGTTTTGATGTGAGATCGCTTTTACATCAAAACAATTCTAAATGTGCTTCCTTTAAGTGCTTGTTTGTTTGATTGTTGATAAAAAACGTTTTAAAGACAACAACGAGCAGGTATGAACCAGAACCTGATAAAATAGTCACTCAAAGAGTCAGCTTGTCAGTATGCAAAGAAGATCATCATGCAATGTTGCATAAAACCAATTGAATCAATTTTCATTCATTCATTTGTCATTTCACTAATGGCTCACAGCATTTCACTTTCACTGATTGATTGTTGCTTGTTTACATTTGTCATTCGATATAACATTCTTTTTCAATGGGTTCGTATGAAATCGATGATGAATTCAAAGTTAAAACATCAACCTGACATCGACCATCCTCAAGATGAATGGGTAATTTTGAGTTCCAAACTTTGTCGTTGATTATGTTTTTCATTCATTTTCAACACTTTCGCTGTTCTCGAACTCGAAATGACTATCATGTAAGGTTAGAAAACGAATGTTTCAGTGAACCCATTTTGTGTCTTTTCATAAAAAATAATACCAATAATCTTCTCGTAAGTTGACTGCCTTATCTCACAACCCATGTTAAACTAACTCACACTTACTTAAAGTATTTTAATCATTGATCAAATGTATTCTTTTATTTCTTTAAGCTGTCTTTGTTTCTATGATTTCATTGATTATGATTCCATACTAATTCAATATTTTGCCCATATTCATGGTCTCATTTGGATGTTACATTTTCTTGAAATTTAGTGATGCATTTATATATGATTGACGAAATTTACAAGTAAATTGCTGTCGTCTGCTTTCGGCTTAAATCTTTGTAAATGGTGTACTTTTTATAAGCCGGTCTCGATATTCTGTGTGTCTGTACGTTTTATCTGTTGAAGTTATTGTGCCTCTGTAATGTGACTTCATGTAATTCCTCAGTTTCAGCTTGTCACTCTACCTTTTTTCATTTATGTATTATATATGAAAATTTTTTTCAGTCGGTAATTGTGATAAAACGAAGTGTCGTTTTTTGATGTTATAAAAGGTATACAGCATCAGTGAAACATCAATAAATGTTGATGTACCAAAACTAAATTTAAGTTCTTATATTGACCACGCTGATTCATAATTGTTGATGGTTTTGTTAAGATCAGCTGCGATAAATTTCGAAATGTTATCACCTCATATAAATATATGTTAATGTGTCCTCATGTTAATCTGGTTGTTTTACGTTAATTGTGTGATATATTGTATGAAAATTTATTTGCAGAAATGTTATGCAAACGGTATGTTTTACCAATAAATGTTTTTTCATGTTTTGGCACGCCATTTTAAAGTTAAAATAACTCAACTTTTATTAATGGGTTTTCGTATTCCCGATATGGCAGCAGATTCAACTTTTCATGAGTCAATGAAGTATTGATGCATGCTTTGTTCGGAATGTTGATGGGTCTAATTGAATGTGCACCGTGCAGTGAATGCACTGTGTGATGTGCATTCGACTGTCTCGAAAAGAAATGTGGCTTCTTTGAAAAATAACGTTCTTGATAAGCGTCTCTTAAACATTCTACAGTTCACGTAACGAAAATTCTTTTTTTTTTTTTCAGAAGCGTTTTCTTTTTGGAAGATGCTTCGTATACATAGCTTTAGGTAAGTGAAGAAATTACTAATCAGATAGATATTGATAACGCACTCAACATGCTAATTAAAAGTAACTAGAAAAGATCAAATGTCGTTATTTATCGCGAAATAGTTTCAGTTTAGTGTTATTGTTAAGGTAAGCATTTTCAATTGATCGACTTTTGTAGCGCAATAAAAATGCTCATGATACCGGATTTCTATGGTGTAGTGGTTATGACGTTCTCGCTCTCCGTGCCCCTCTCCCCTTCATCCCCCTCCCTTTTTCCCAGTTGAACATGTGGCAAATGTCATTCCACTCCAACAATCCATGTGACCGTGGTGCTCTTCTCCTTTGACAGTTTGTTACATCTTACGAGGAATGGTCACGAACTTACCCCAGCCTTTCGGGATGAGACATATATCATATTGTAGAGCTCGTTAAGCTGATCGTGCATATGCAAATAATTTTTGCCAAACACAAAGGGGACGCGAGATATGGCCGGAATCGCGTCCCCTTTGTGTTTAGCAAAAATTATTTGCATATCCATGATCAGCTTAACGAGCTCTACAATATGGTATATGTCTCATACCGAAAAGCTGGGGTAAATTCTTGACCTTTCCTTATTGGTGACAAAACAGAAGAAATTGCAGGGAATATCCTGTTAAGCATTCGTCATGATATCAATGGAATGAATCATTTTGCTTGATTAACTTTTATGCAGGAAATAAGAAAAAAGTGAGTCAACAATAATTTGGCTTAGGCATCTTTAATTTGCCAACTCCCTTAACATTCTCAGATCACACCTCTACCCTGCCCACCCGCTCCGAGGAGGCAGCTTCTGCCAGTGAGAATCACCGATTCGAAAGTATCCACTGAGCATTGTTGCAAAAAAATTGTGTCGGTGACACTCATTTTAATGTTTGATGTATTTCTGTTTTGCATGATTCTTTTAATTAATAACAAAGTATCTGCCACTTTCCGTGTTTCCATTTTTCTAGTTGATTTCTCTTCCGATTCATCCGTTTACGGTGTTGTTATCCGGTTTGCAAAAGTAGACAGCTATTACAGTTTCCCAGGTACAACACATTCATAAACAAAAAATCATCTCATCAGTCGACTTTCCGATCTTTTTGAGACTTTCGAGTCTTCGGTTTCCGATCCCGCTGAATTTTTTGATCTCACGAAACTGGTACATATATCTTTACTGGATTTCTCTCATGAATTAGTGAATGAATGTTCTTCTGAGAACTCATCATGTCGATAAAAGCAACCTCGGATTTGAGCCCTCAACAACTGTACCTTTGAAACAATGCGATTTAGTGGAATTTGTCACATTGACGACGAAGCAGATGCGTATGGCCGAACAGTGTGTAGGTGTACCGTTACGCTCATTCCGAAATTATGCAAGCCTTCCTTGCTATCATCACATATCATGCCAACTACTGTTTATATTAGTTACCTGATAGAGTGACCGACAAACACACTGGCGACAAATGCAAGGTCGGCATTTGGGAAGCCCGTAGTCGGTCACACAAACTTGGTTTATGTCCACTTTTTGAGCAGTGCGAACACATGTTCACCATTTTGTGTGTAGTATGAAATGTGGACTGTGTGATATATTCGGAGAATGTTTACCATTGTTTTATCATTTTTTGCGCGTGGTGCGTTCGTGATGTTAGTAATCAGTGAACTTAATTGAGTAATTGAAGATTATTGATGATATTCCTATTGGCAGTTGTTTTGATATTACCACCTTATGATATCTCGAACCTGAAGGAAAAGATTGCCGAATATGGGCAGTTATTAGATGAAACAATATCAGGATGAGTATTCGTTTCGAATTGTCGATGTATGTCAGTTTATATCATGTCATTCTCCACCTCAACGGATCTTACAATGAATCTCATAATGGAGAAGGGTAGTGGTTCTTTTTTCAGGCTGAACGTGAATGTATTGTCCGATTTTCGATTCGGTTGGAGATGGTGTTACAAGGTCATGAAGGGTGAGTTTAAATTGTTATGAGATGAACGTTCTTGCATGTGCTTTATTCAGTAGCAGGTGAAATATTTGCAGATGTTGTGTTTCGGTGCAGGGATGCATGCTAAGTTTTAATCGTATTCAGCTAATTCAGAAATGTTTCTTTTCGCTTCATAAATGTGACACTTTCGTATCGTTGCATTTTTATATTTTGTATCGTTGTCTTTAAAGTGTATTTGTTTTGTGTTTCAATATTAATTATATATTAAAGTAAATGAAACTGCCCTAACTGATGTATTCGCTCACACCACAGAAAATCAACTGAGCTCTTAGTTATAACTCGCATTATGAACTGCAGTATTTGTGACAGCTTTTTACATATCTTAATTAATGGAAACACTGCTAATCTCTTTAACGCTCGAAGGTATGGCTGAACATATTCTTATATATAAGAGACCGTAGTAAATACATCGTGTAATACGCGTGTTATGCCACACACACACAAAATGGTGAGCATTTGTCGCACTGCTCAAAAAGCGAACCGAAACGAGGTTTGAGTGACCGACTACGGGCTCGGCAAATGTCGGGCTTGCAATTGTCGCTAGTGGATCTGTCGTAGATCCACGTGATAGCCGATCGGTACTGACAAGTACTGCATGTGCATGTAAGAAGCAGCATCTACCGCACTTTTATCAACAGGCGATTTTACATACACTAACTACGCAACTAGTTCCTCACGCTATTCATCTATATCTGCTAATTTCGTCGGAGTGATTTCATTTTTATCAGATAATTTGGTTGGCTAAGATTTTGTTGGAAGTTTTCGAAAAATGTCAGATGTTCCAGAAAATGCAAATGCACACTGTCCTGGAACGGCAAGTGAGGAAGCCGGCAAGGTTCTAATGTTTCAATTATTGTACTCAAATTCTTTTTCTTTCTGCTACCGAAATATCCTCATGATGACGGATCGATGAAATAAGTATCAGAATATTGGCTGTTTTTATTTCATTATCACCAATCAAGTTTCATAAATATGTTGGAATATATTCAACGTGAGATTTTTTGAGAAGCACGTGTGTGGAATTTTAATCAGTTAAGTTTTTCCTATGTTTGAAAATTCAAAGTTTTTTTATGAAAGGTAGCAGAACGTAACATTGCTTAAAAGTGCAATAGTTAAAGTCGTTTACAGACATCTTCTTGTGCCGGCTGTCCAAATCAAACGGTTTGCTCTTCTGGCGAATTAAGAAAACCGGATACAGATGTGGTTTATATGAGTGATCGTTTGAAGAGTGTTAAGCACAAATTGCTGATCCTATCGGGAAAGGGTGGTGTTGGAAAGAGCACTGTAACAGCGAACATAGCTCGTGCCTTGGCCAACGATCCTACAAAACAGGTTAATTCGACTGTAGTTAAGTTCATTTTGCGTTTCGGTCGGAAAATTGTTACGTTGGTCATCCGATGGTTTGCGTTAAATTCAACATTTTTTGCGTTGTTTCATTCTTTGATCACATCATCATGAAATTAGATTTTGACCAAACCGAGTAACCGACGAAGGAAACAAACGATTAGTGACAGACTGAAATGTTGTGAAAGGTTTGTGCTGATCTGACTAAAATGGCTAGATTAGAATGAATGAGAAAGTGCATATAACTGTAATAAAGATGATAAAATTGAACATGATAATAATTCTAGATTGCGATACTCGATGTGGATATTTGTGGTCCATCACAAGCACGTATGATGGGTGTTGAAGGGGAAAGTGTACACGAGAGTGCGGAAGGTTGGAGCCCAATATTTACGAAGGATAATCTATGCATTATGAGTATCGCATTTCTTATACAAACAAAAAATGAAGCTGTTATATGGCGTGGCGCTCGCAAAAATGCTCTTATCAAACAATTTCTCAAGGTTGGCTCATATTCTAATTCATTTCTATTTTTGTTTATTTGATATTTCATGTGCCAGGTGTATTCTTGTAAGTGAAGTTACAGATGGTGAAAGTCGTTTAAAAAACTGAGCAATTTTAAGGATGTTGACTGGGGAAATATTGACTATTTATTGGTGGACACACCACCAGGCACATCTGATGAACACATTTCAATTGTACAATTTTTACTGCAAGTTGGTACACTGGATGGTGCAATTCTAGTAACAACACCTCAAGAAGTTTCTCTCTTGGATGTACGAAAAGAGGTATTCTTATGCAGTATTTAAGTTTGATAAGATGTTTCATTTATCGGTAATAGTGAAGTTCATTTGCAGATTGTTTAAACATACTGCATGGAATCAGTTGTAAATAATGAGTGGAAAAAAAGTGCTATTCAATTCACTCATCTAGTTTCAGGTGAATTTTTGTCGCAAAACGAATGTTCCAATCGTGGGCGTTTTGGAGAATATGAGTCAGTTTGTATGCCCGTGCTGTTCAACAGTTTCGAATCTCTTTCCGGCTACAACTGGCGGTGCGGCAAGTATGTGTGACGAATTAGGGTTACGTTTAATTGATGCGATGCCATTAGATCCACGAATGGCTGAATGCAGTGATCGGGGCGAGGATTTCTTCGAGAAATATCCCGAATCTATATTGGCGAAGAAATTCGTGAAACTAGCTGAATTCCTTGTTGCAACACTTTGATCTGACAAAACAAGCATGTATTTTCTTTGAATATTTCGATCGTTTCTTTTGTTGATTAAAGTGAGAACTCCATTCTATGATACCATGCCGTCGTGGTTGTTTGGAACATTTCATAAGTGAGGAATTCAGGATTGCTTCTCCTTATGAGAATCCTCCTCTTGATATTCGGTGTTGTTGAAAATGTTCCCCTCAGTAAGTCTTTTCGATAAACTGAAGAGAGAAAAGAAGCCATATTCGTTCAGCGTATCGCAAGTCTTGTTAACTCTTATTTATTTATTGGTGTTATGTCCATTAAGTTTCATTCGTTCAGTCACAGGCAGCTTTCTTCCATCAAAATTTTAAATGTCACTTCAATTTTCCTCCCTTGGTTAGAAAATTATCATTCTTGTTCTTTTGAATTTCCGGAAAAATCTCATTCCATTTTTTCTTGTTGTTAATCTTTGCCCAAAACTGAAGGGATTTTTTGATTTTTTGACCACTTTTCTATGCCGGACATTTAAATGTCGTTAATTTGAATGACGAATAAACATTTCAATCATGTGAAATTTGTTTTTTTTTTTCAAACGTTTGAGACAATAGATGTCAACAGATGCGTTAATCAAATTAATCTCTTTTCACCATCATCTCAGTTCGTGCTTTTGGCATTCATCATTTTGCCACTGCCGCTGTGAAAATCATCGAACAATAAAATTGTGCTCACAAGTGCATGAAATTGTCCTCAGTGCAGTTCGAATCAAGAGTGCTTGTTTAGGTGGCTGCATGTGTGCTAAACGCGTAGTTATTATTGGGTTGGAAGCAGTAGTAACGCAAGAATTATTTGTTGCATGTTTATAGATGGGGTCGTCAAAGCGACATTGTACAAGTTTCTAGAATTGTTTGATGGCATCCGTAGGAGCATGAATGAAATAGAAGGAAATGTGAGCGTTCAGTTATTTAGTTGCAATGTTGGGTGTTTGATGATATTTCTAAATTTCAAATTGTATGAACACCTCTATAAAGAATCCCCTAATAATTGAACTATACAAGGTTCGCAATATCGTTGTGGCGTTGCAGCTATTACTTCTTTGAACTTATCTAAACTTTCAAAATCTCCTTTTGCTGCCGCCCGATTTCTTTAGAGTTTGTGTGCTCAAACGATTGCTTTGTTCCTTGAGGCCCACAGTTTTCCCCACAAGATCAGAAAATTTTGGTAACTTTCTTCCAGCCTTTCATTAATTGCAAATACCAAATTAGTTTTGTGTTGCTTTGACAGTTTTGATTGTCTTCAAATTTCAGCTTATCGTTAGTTCTCAATTTCTTCAGGTTTTTCTAACCGTTTTATTGAGATTGCATCAATCAAGACAGTAGCAAAATACCTTGCTTTCTGTGGCTATGCGAACTGATGCTTGAGTGCAGTTGTCCTGGCATAAATAGGCGTTCCTTATTTGCATCCAACAACAAATCATTACGATGTCGTTACAGATAGAGAGTACTATGAAAGCAACAGTAGTTCATTGTTTGCACCAGTTTTTAAAACCGTTATCTGTGCTTCGATATTTTTATGGCAATGTGCTTATTTGTTTATGGCAACGACAATTACTTCAGATCGATAATTTGTGTCGTTTGACAGCAATGAATTCAGTTTCGACGTTAACATGAGTGGTATGCAAAACTGAACTAAAAATGCGACAGTGGTGGAATAGCTTCGAGCTAGATCTTCTTTAAAAGTGCTCTTGCCGGCTGAATATTCATTCATTTCCTCTTCGCAGGTGCGTTATTGCTTTATTAATCTGATTTATCTCTTTGAAATTAAATTTCATGAAATATTTGTTTACCTTCATAATACGAGCATTTAAACCAGTATTTACCCGTTTACCGGTGTAAAAAGAACGAGTGTCAATGTAATCTTTTATACTAATTCAACAATTCCCTGCTTTTATTGCTTATAGATACTTGAAGAACTGTTTCTGTATGTATATATACATATATTTTCATCCTTCGGTCAAAAAAGTACTGATATTACAAAGTTGCGATTCTGGATGGATAAGTTCTATGGGACTGTTCTGACTGGATGCTTTTAATACTGCCGTAAATAGCTTGCGACACGTTTGTAGAACGAAATAAACGTCTTGAAACAAATTAGACTGAATCAGTTTAACTAAATTCCATTATTCATGTACTAATGGATGTGCAGAATCATATTTGGAACAGTTTTTGTGCTCGCCAATACATTTTTAAGTGGCTATATTGCGTAATGTAATCAAGTTGTGATCAGTCAGAAGAAAAGAATTTTTTTGAAATAGTCTTATCAAAAACGCTTATCAAAAATGAACTGTTTGTGTTAATATTTATTAAATCGAGCACATAAGCTTTAATTTGCGTCCGTTTCAATTGTTTTACTGTGTTCGGAAAAATAATTGATCCCATCTACTGCGATGACACCATATGATCGTGTAATGTAACATTTTAAAATATTTAAGTTCCCAATTCTGTGAAAAGGTAAAATCTTTTGAATTTCCTGAAAATTGAACTCTCTGTATCCTATAAGTCGTTTCTCTGTTACTTTAACCAGCGTCGTCAAAAACAACTATCATAAAGACTTGAATCCATTCTGTGTGACACTTTTCCATTATGTGTGTAGAATGCGTTTACTGATTTGTAATGTCCGCTACTTCTTGCTGAGATCTTCGCCAAGAGTAGATGAATGCAAAATAAATGCAATTACGCAGACGTTTAATAATGCCTCCTCTCACCCCTCATTTGTTCAGTTACACTGGGAATTCATTAGTTCAAAAATTCGTTTGTGAAAAGTGCAAAAAAAAAAACTGCACAAGTGAAGAACTGCTTACCATTCGAATCGTCAGATCATGCGTTGACAAAATGTTGTTTTGGATTTTTTGTTTAGTCGATGCAGAGTTGGTCTTAACGTGTGCAAAATTATCTAAAAAGCTGAGCGTGTTCAAACCGTATGTACCGCCAAAAAGTAATCGACTCATATGTTGTCTTTAAAAAAAAAACTCTGAATAATTGTGATGATAAGGGAGCAAACTCTGAATAATTGTGATGACAGCGCTATCGCTATCGCTATTGCCTACTCTAAAAACCTCATTGCGTCACAGAATGATTGAAAATTTCCATTGAAGAACACGCATTTTTGAAATGAATATGAGAAACATTACAAAAATAGAATTCATCTCAACATCTGAACCGACAACTGCAGATGTTTTTTTTTTCTTCGGACCGCTCACAAGAACTCGGTAGATTCGAATTTAGTGCAGTTTTGCAGCACAAATATGTATTCAGATATCTCAATGATTGAGAAACTATACCAGCGGTTTTCATAAGGGGTGAAATTACCCATTTTGGGTAGTTTGAAGGTGTCAACGGGCAATGGAGAGGGTTGGGAAATTAGTATTTCGTGCAGTTTTACGTTATGATAGAACGCCATCCTATTTTCTGGGTATCATTAGCTCGTCCGGGCCTAACAGGGTTTTCATTGAAATCATATCCATTTGTCAGTGAATGGTGTTTTAACAGGGTTTTCATTCTTTATCACCAAATGTGTTCTCTTTTCCTAATTTCTCATTCATTTTACTCTACAGTTAAATTCAAATTTTCATCCTATCAAGTAGACTCTGTAATTGATCAGTTGTTGAGCAATAATATTCGATTCATGTATTGTTGATTTCGGCTGTCAACACTCGTCAGCGTATCCAATAAGTAGTATATGCTACAGAATAAGAAACTGACTTGAGCTGTGAAGTGAAATGAGAGAAATGAATGAGAAAACTCATCAAGAGAACGATATTCGCATGTAATAGCTATGAAAAAGAATGAAAATTCATCTAATTTTAAATCTGTTTGAAGTGAGCGTGTTACAGACAATAGCTTTTTATGCAATCAAAATCGATTGCAGTAGTGAGGACCACAAAGGTCGAAGAGAAGGCCTAACCATCATGGTGTTCTTATATCAGAGGGTGGGGGGTAACGGCGGCCTGTCAGATCATC